CAACTGTGTTTTATATATATATATATATATATATATATATATATATATATATATATATATATATATATATATATATATATATATATATATATATATATATATATATATATATATATATATATATATATATATATATATATATATATATATATATATATATATATATATATATATATATATATATATACAGTATTACCCTCTAACGTGTTTCAATTTAACGCTGTTTTATCATATTCATGTGCCTTTCAGAGCTGAACTTTTCACTTAACACGGATTTTTTTCCACATATGTGTGAGTGTCCGCCCAGTTATTTTTAGATTTGCCTCATCGCCAATTCTGCCTGACTGCCTGTTTAGCTCATAAAATTCATACAAATTACTCGGCCAGAATATAATTTACATTGCTGAATTCTTATAATTTGGGATTATTTTGAATATAAACATCATATATTTTGCATTAGACATACAAATTTAGATAAAAATTTTTCTCAGAGTAACTATGTCTTTTGTGCAAAATATATGACATTTATATTCAAATATTCCTGGTCTTACAAGGAATCCAGCAATGTCAATTGTATTATCCTAACTTTAGTTTGAGGTATTATTTATTAAAATTTAGTGATTTTCCCCCAAAATTTCTCTGAGAGGGAAGAGCCAGCAGTGTAGTGTGAGAGGAGGGAGTTGAGTCCATTATTTGAATGGACATTAACTTGGCTACTGTATTTCTTTATTTCTCTTAAGTATTAATTGTGTGCATGTACCATCATAAAATTAAGATGTTATTTTTACTACAACATAGGTATGTGCCTTCAAAAGTGGAGTTTGGGGTCGGCCGGTTTCTATTGGAATTAATCCCATATGTTCTGTTGTTCACTTATCAGGATTTCACTTTAACGCTGGACCCTCTGGGTTCAATTGATCTGCTATGGGTACAATGTATATATATATATAATATATATATATATATATATATATATATATATATATATATATATATATATATATATATATATATATATATATATATATATATATATATACATATACATACATACATAGAATCTAGTCTTATTAAATATACCGGAGCATTCAACATGAATTTGAGTAACGGCATACAAGCTGGACAATTTTGTAATTAAGAAGATTTGTGATCAGGTGAGAAGGCCGGGTCACTTGACCATCTGACCTGACCACCAACCGCTGTGTGCTATTTAAAGATTAGTAGGGTCATTACCTAATACCTGACCATTGTGACCTGGTCTCACCCTCCTCTGTATATATACACCTTGATTTGTATTACTCTCTCTAGTCTGTACTCACCCCTGAAGATGTGAATTACACTAAAGCGCTTGGGAACTTCGGTTTTCTTCTTTCCTTGTGGTTATGCATATACCAGATGCCTCACAGTGATTTACTTGTACATACATATACATATATATATATATATATATATATATATATATATATATATATATATATATATATATATATATATATATATATATATATATATATATATATATATATATATATATATATATATATATATATATATATATATATATATATATATACACACACATTATTACCCCGCCTAACGAGGTTTCACTTAGCGCGTTTTATCATATACGCGGTGCCTCGCCAGAGCTGAACTTTCACTTAACACGGATTTTTTCATCATATACGCAGTGAGTGTCCGGCTCGAGACGCTATTTTTAGATTTGCCCCACGCGCCACCCGCCCGCCTGCCTGCCTGCCTCTCCCTCCTCCTCCCTCCGCTTGGGCAAGTGGCGCGGTAAGGTTGTGCAGTGTGTGTCTTTGTTGCGTTATCACTGACGTCATATGACGTATCGGACTGTGATTGGCCATGCATCCCTACCCCCCTCTGCTGCTAGCTGGAATTGGCTTAAAGTATTATGACGTGACCACCCCGGGGAGGGAGGGAGGGAGGGAGGAGAGACGATGCTTGACCTAGCCACGGCAGTTTCATCCCTCAAGGCCACACCGTGTAAACGCGCATCCATTGTTCCGTAAAATGGCTTCCGCTGGACCACCACCGCCACCAGAGAGAGACCTTTCCTTACCTGGACCCAGCGGCACTAAGCCAAAGAAGACACGACGTTCCTTAAGCTACGAGGTGAAGTACCAAATTGTTCAAGATTTGGAGAAAGGAACACGGCAAGTTGATCTCGCGCGCCAGCATGGTGTCAACGAATCTACGATTCGCACGATCAAGAAGGATGCAGCCAAGATCAAAGAGCACATGAAAATCACAAAGTCTGCAGGTGCTTCATCTATCAGGTATTGCCAGAACAGGGTGCTGGCAAAAGTGGAAAATTTGCTGGTGAGTTATTTGATTCGTCAGGCGCGACGCAACATGGCGGTGGACACGCGCTCAGTGCAGGAGTACGCACGTGAGCTATACGCAGCAGTGTCACGTAAGCTGGGAATTGCAGAGCCCAAACCCTTCAATGCTTCCTCTGGTTGGCTGCATAGGTTTAAGAAGAGGAACAAGATCACCAACATCAACATTGGTGGTGAGGAAGCGAGTGCTGACCGTGTGGCGGATAGAGATTTTCCTCCGTTCTTACGTGAGATTATGGAAGAAGGACATATATATATATATATATATATATATATATATATATATATATATATATATATATATATATATATATATATATATATATATATATATATATATATATATATATATATATATATATATATATATATATATATATATATATATATATATATATATATATATATATATATATATATATATATATATATATATATATATATATATATATATATATATATATATATATATATATATATTGATTTACATGATTTAGGGAATTTCTTAGTGAGGAGTGTTTTTTACTTAATGCATATTTTGGCTTTACTTTACTCTGACAGAGGACAAGGTGGAAAGTGTAGCAGAAGCGCTAAGTAACGAGGATCTTATTGAAATGGAGGCACAGAAATTTGCAGAAGAAGAAAAGAGACAAAATGGAAAAGAAGAACCTGCACCCTCCAAAAAGTTTTCAGTGAAAAAATTGGCAGACGCATTTTCTACTATTAATAAGGGGTTGCAAATATTTGAAAAAATGGATAAAAATGTTGAGCGTTCTGCAAAAGTTGACAGAATGATCCAAGATGCACTTGCTTGCTACAGGGAGATTTACAATGAAAAGAAAAGGAAATCTGAGCAGTCTGAATTGAACATATATTTTAAGAAGTCCGCCACTGCTGCCTCACGCCCCACCAGTGCTGCCTCTTCACTCCCTAAAGATGATCCAATACCTTCATTAAGCGAGTATGTTAGCCTGTCTGAAGAAAGCAAACTTGATGACCCACCCAGCCCTGTCTCCTCCTCTGCTTCATCCAATTAATGTAGTCTCCATGCTTAATTAAAAAATTATTGAGGCCCCGTGTGCATTCAGCTGACTACATTAAAGGTAAGTGCACAGTAACACTTTATTCATTTTTCATTGTTAATTACTTTTACTGTACTGTATTTCATTGTAGAATTTCTATGTATTATTTTTGCCTTTTCGACTTATGACCTGGTCGTCGGGGCGGAACCCCATCGTTAGTTGAGGAGAGACTGTATACTGTGTGTGTGTGTATATATATATATATATATATATATATATATATATATATATATATATATATATATATATATATATATATATATATATATATATATATATATATATATATATATATATATACTTCATTTTTAGTCCATATAACACGCGGACTTTGAACATATAATCAACGACCTCACCAGCAAGGAATCGAACCCTCGACCTACTGGGTGTGACTAGGGAACGCTTACCGGCTAGGCCACAAGGACACTAAAAGCAGTTCTAGACTCTGTTATATTTCACACAAAGCCTGTTCATCGAGCTGATGGCGCCGTGAACCTCATTGGGAAACTGCCCGTGCCTCTTATGTGGAGTCAGTAGCATTTTACCGAATCCAGCTGGTATGAAACGCGAGGTACATGTATATACTTCATTTTTAGTCCATATAACACGCGGACTTTGAACATATAATCAACGACCTCACCAGCAAGGAATCGAACCTCGACCTACTGGGTGTGACTAAAATGAAGTATATATATGTACTGCTGCTTTCATACCAGCTGGATTCAAAATGCTACTGACACCACATAAGAGGCACGGGCAGTTTCAATGAGGTTCACGGGCGCTATCAGCTCGATGAACAGGCTTTGTGTGAAATATAACAGAGTCTGGGAACTGCTTTTAGGTTCTTGTGGCCCAGCCGGTGCTCTAGTCACACCGGTAGGTCAGGTTCGAGCTCCTTGCTGGTGAGGTCGTGATTATATGTTCAAAGTCCGTGGTATATGGACTCAAAAATATATATATATATATATATATATATATATATATATATATATATATATATATATATATATATATATATATATGTATGTATGTATGTATGTATGTGTATGTATGTATGTATGTATGTATGTATGTATGTATGTATGTATGTATGTATGTATGTATGTATGTATGTATGTATGTATGTATGTGTATGTATGTATGTATGTATGTATGTATGTATGTATGTATGTATGTATGTATGTATGTATGTATGTATGTATGTATGTATGTATGTATGTATGTATGTATGTATGTATGTATGTATATATATATATATATATATATATATATATATATATATATATATATATATATATATACATATATATATATATATATATATATATATATATATATATATATATATATATATATATATATATATATATATATATATATATATATATATATATATATATATATATATATATACAAGTAAACATTGTAGGTGTGTGTGATCCAGGTATATGATAACTACAAGGAAAAGAAACAAAGAAGTTCAAGAACTTTGTAATTCACATCTTCAGGGTGAGTACAGACTAAGGAGACATATAACAAGGCAAATATATACAGTAGAGGAGGGTGAGATCAAGTCTACAATGATCAGGTCACTAGGTAGTGATCCTACTAATTCAAAAACACCACAGCAGTCGGATGGTCAGAGGGTAAGATGACCCAACCTTCTCACCTGGTTGGAAATCTTCTGAATTATGAAATTATCCAGTTTGAACATACCATTACTCAAATTCATGTTGACGGATTCGGTATGTTTAAAGAGACTGGATTCTATAATGTTCCTACTGTTAAGTGAATTACAAGATAATATTGAGGAGGCATTATCCCAGTCAATGCAATGCTTATTATCCCTTAAATGAACAAACAGAGCATTGGATTCCTGGCCTGTCTTAACACTATATTAATGTTGTTTAAGTCTAGTTACAAGATCTTTACCTGTCTGGCCTAAGTAAAACATATTACATTCCTTGCAAGGAACCTTATAAATGCTGCCACCTGTATTGTTGGGGGAGTTCTTGATTAACATTTGTTTAACAGTGCATGAGTTTTTAACTTTCATTGACGTTCCAGGTTTTAGTTGTAAAGGAATTTGAGAGAAATTTTTGTGAAATGGTAATACTAAGAGATTCTTATGGTCATGGGTGGGCTTGGGATCGGTTCTATAAAAAGATTTCTCAAGGACATTTGTCTATAAAGGATCTAGGATACTTAAGGTTTAAGCCAATATTATAGATATAATTATATTCTCATCAATGAATTCCGGCCAAATTCTCAAAGCACGTAAAAACATTGATGAAAATAATGACTGTTTGACTCTATTATGGTGGGCAGAATAATAATGAATGTATGAACACACATTAGTAGGTTTCCTATAAATACTGAACTTAAAGGTGTTACTCATTCTGTGGATCAGACAGTCTAGTAAAGCAATTTACAGTCATGCTCTAACCAGGTGAGAAGGTTGGGTCATCTTACCCTCTGACCTGACCACCGACTGCTGCGGTGTTTTTGAAGATTAGTAGGGTCACTACCTAGTGACCTGATCATTGTGGACTTGATCTCACCCTCCATTACTGTATATATATGCCTTGTTATGTATGTCTCCTTAGTCTGTATCACCTGCATTCCGGCTCTAACGCACTGTGCCTTGCCAGAACCTCACGTGCTCAAATTACGCTGCATGTAACCCATTACGCGGAGAGTGTCCGGGCGACGCTATTTTTTAGATTCGCCCCACCCGCCCGTCTGCCTGTGCTGCTCGCCCTCCTCCCTCCCTCCTGGGTAAGCGGGCGTAAGGTTATGCAGTGTGTGTCTTTGTTATGTTATCACTGACGCCATATGACGATCAGACCTGTGATTGGCCATGCATCCCTACTCTGCTGCTAGCGTGAATTGGCTAAAAGTATTATGATGTGTCCACCGGGAGGGGGGGAGGGAGGAAAGACGCTTGACCTAGCCGCAGTTTCATCCCTCAAGGCCACACCGTAAACGCCAAGATCCATTGTTCCAGAATGGTTTCCGCCGACCACCACCCCAGAGAGAAACCTTTCATTACCTGGACCCAGCGGCACTAAGCCAAAGAAGCACGACGCCTTTAAGCAACGAGGTGAAGTATACCATCATCCAAGAGTTGAGAAAGAACAAGGCAGGTTGATTTACGCCAGCATGGTGTGAATGAATCTACGATTCAACAATAAAGGATGCAGCCAAGACAAAGCGAGCACATGAAGATCACAAAGTCTACAGTTTTATGATCAAGTATTTTCACAACCAGGTGCTTCTCAAGACAGAAAAATTACTTGTGAGGTAATTTCGGCCAGGGCGCGACGGAACATGGCGGCCGACACGCCGCTTCTGTTAAGGACTATGCACGAACTGTACATCGCAGTGGCACGAAGATGGGAATTACAGAGCCCAAACCCTTAATGCTTCCTCTGGGTGGTTACAGAGGTTTAAGATCTGAACAAGATCACCAATATAAACATTGGTGGTGAAGAAGCTGCGCTGATCGTTATGCTCGAATTTCTGTTTTTACGTGAGATTATGGAGGAAGGACAGTACAGTGATCTACTCGGTGTTTAACATGGACGAATCTGGTCTTTTTCTGGAAAAAGCTACCTTCCAAGTCCTTCGCTAGAAGAATGCCAGCAGGATTCAGTGAAGATGGAATGAACGACCGTCCCGGTTTACCACCAATGCCTCCGCACCTGTAGCCTGTTATCGGTGATCCACACAGCACGCAGTCAAGACGCCTACAAAACCATGGACATGACCAAGTTAAATGTCCACTGGCTGACCGCGACGAAGCGGATATTCTCTACACTGTCCTCTCCTGGTTTGATGACTGTTTGTTCCGATGTAAAAAAATTCTGGAGCGACAGAATGTGCCATTCAATATTTTGTTGCTGCTGGACAACGACCAGGACACCCCTACTGTTAGATCGCCACCCCAACGAAAAGTGGTCTTCCTTCCTCCCAACACTACGTCTATATTACAGCCCATGGACCAAGAGTTAATCTGTAATGTAAAAGCTGCATTCTCAACAAAAACCAGCTCTGAATCGACTACACCAACACCAGGAAGAGTTATGAACCTGAGTGACACCACCAGAAAGCAAGAGCGAAGAAGATGAGGATCAACAGTTGAACAGCAAAAATACTCTTCAAACAATTCTGAGAGTATTTAACATCAAGAAAGCTGTGGACTTTGGTGGAGTCATGGATCAGCTGTCTATTGCTACAATTGTCACGCATGGAGACATGTGTTGCATGGAATACCAGGTGAGAGGAGGAGCCAATCTGTGACTGGTGAGGTTCAGAATGTTGCAGTAGCAGTGGACCTTGCAGAGAAGCTGCGAGACTGTTGCAGTTCTAGGCTTCTCCGAGACTACCAACGACGACATCCTGGAGGTGATCGAGATCCTGAAGTGACTGCCGACCAGATGTTGGAAGAAGAACACGCCAGTGAAGAGGAGGAAGAAAGGCGTCATTCAAGAACATAGTTTAAGCTCGTAGTGATATTAAGGATGCCATGGAGTGTGCAGAGAAGAAGTCCTCTTTCCGCGACAATGACGCATAACCGCCATGAAGTCTCTACTCGCTGGTGCAGGATTTTTCCATCCCTTTTCTATATATATATATATATATATATATATATATATATATATATATATATATATATATATATATATATATATATATATATATATATATATATATATATATATATATATATATATATATATATATAGTCAACCTCACTTTACGCGTTAATGTAACCTAGGTCCTCGGAAAGTGAGAAACGCTGTAGTGAATAACATAACATATGGGATTATATATATATATATATATATATATATATATATATATATATATATATATATAGTTAACCCTCACTTTTACGCTAAGTTAATGTAACCTCGCAGGGTCCTCGAAAGTGGAGAAACGCTTAAAGTGAATAACATAACATATGGATTAATTGAAATAGAGTCCTATTTATCCCTCAAACTCCACTTTTTGACTCT